TTTTAAATCACAATCAACTTTTATCAAGAAAATTGCAATTAGATTTTCCTCTCAAATCAAGCAGCCCTACTGGTTCCAAAATTAGGGAGTTATTATCAGTAGTAAGAGAAAGCTTTTTGCATTTGTGCTCTTCTCTTCCAGAGCTCTGTATATAATGATCTTCACAAAAAACCTGTTGGAAGTAGCTCCAAAAAGGACCTTCTGGTCAGTACTGATCAATATCCTGAACTCAAAAGCTGATTCATTCTTAATGCATCATCATGAATGTGTTCTTCCAGGTTTAGAGCACGATATTTCAGATTTATGACTATGATTCATATCAGATATGTGTTAATTTCCCATTGCTTTACACCATTTCCTTAGACTGGATTGTATCATGACCAAAGAAACTACACCAGCTTAAAGAACTCCAAACCTTCTCCCTCTACTGTCTCTACCTATACACCACGGGTTTGTCTCCTTCCTTTCTGCATGTTTATTACTCTCGCACTGCAAAATGTTTGGAGGAAAAGTCTTTACATCCTCCTGGAAAGTTTCTTCCTAATTACAATAAATGATGTATGCAGTTCGTTTTTCTTGTCTTGTCAAGGTTTTTATTTCAGTACTGGCTGTTCCTTTAGTTTTAAAAGCTAGTCTGGCATCATCTGTTTGACTCGGTGGTTTAGTGGAGATATTTGACAGCTGTTGCTTGTGGTTTGACCTTCACAGGCTCCCTCCAGCAGCAGTTCTACAGATCTGACGCGCAGCTATAGTGTGGTCAGTCTGATTTTCAGCACATCTGCCATGTGATTGGATGTGATTTAAACCCCACTGTTGTATAAGCCTCTTTCATCTGTTCGTTTAAAAATTGAGATCTGTGTCCTCAGGCCTCCATTTGTGACGACGGTCTTTATGGTTCATATAGTTCCCGAGCTGTAAGTGATGCCATAGTATATACAGTATACTGAAATAATAATCATATCATAACGCTGGAGCAGTATTTGCTCAGTGGTCAGTGTTATTCCCCCGCAGCCCTCTGAATGCAGCTGGTATTCTTCTGGTGCCAGTTCCACCCGAAGCAGCCCTGTGGTGAGTGTTCGCATGTATCCAGAGCTGAGGCAGCTGCTCATGCATGTGTTCATTCTGAAACGCCAGTGTGTGCTCATATATTATACACTCTGTCAGATAATTCACCTTTTTAAAGTAGATGTTTGCACTAGTCTGACTCCAGGTATTGAGCCTTAGTGTGTAACTCATTCGGCATTATTTGTGTTATGAACATGAATGATATCAAATTGTGTAGCATGTTAAAGGGGTCATATGATGCTTTTTTTAAGATCATTATTTGGTGTAACAGAATATGTTGACATGCTTTAATGTTAAAAAAACACATTATTTTTCAAATACTGTACATTATTGTAGGTCCTCTATGCCCCACCTCTCTCAAACGCTTCGTTTTCTACAAAGTCCCTCCTTCCGACAAGCCCAGTCTGCTCTGATTGGCATAATCAATTACCATATCATTACCATGTCATTAGTTTTACCATCAGTTCAAGCCCGAAAGGGGAACAGACACAGTAATGATGCAGACAGTACACAAGCTGTGGTTAAGACAGCTGACTCCACTTTGATGTGACGCTGTCTCTCTCGCTCTCTCTCTCTCACACACACACACACACATACACGATGCGCAAAACTCCACATTTGAACAGTCAATAGCAAATACTTAACTAGTTACAAAACATACTTACAGTCGCTGATTCAGAAGCGCCAGATTGTCATAGCAAAGTCAGAATTACCTCCTCTCCTAGGTTCATGAAACGGTTGTCCATAAAATGCATTGCTGTTCTGTTGTAAGTGATCTTAAAGATTCCTAAATGCATCTACTTCCGGAAGGCCAAATAAAGTGCTTTTGCTTTCGCCTAGAAACACACAGCGTCTCCCTGACATGTCTGCTTCAACACTAACTGCAGTTACTGAAACCACGCCTTCTTTCTTTGCATGCACATTTGGGCGCATTATGCAAATATTCCCACATAGTGACCTAGATATGTGGGGGCGTGTTAGAACGAGTCGTTTTAGGGGGGCGTGGCAGAGTCTTAACTTTGATAAAGAATATCTCTTTGGTTTTGAGACTTTAGTCTTTGCAACTTCAGGGATCTTCTCTATTCACGAACAGCTTGTAACACTCTAAAGAGAAAGGAAAACTTGAAATCGCATCATATGACCCCTTTAAGGAGAGGTGTGTTTGAACGAAGTGATTGAACTTACGGTTTATGGGGAAAAAAACGTCATAAAACTACAGTGAAAAGGGGACTGAGCTACACTCTGCTGTTCAAAAGTCTGTGGTTGGTAATAGGGTTGTGACGGTGAGGAAATTTTCCCACCGGTTAATCGACGTGTGACAACACCGATAATACCGGTAACACTGTGGGGGCAGGGGCGTTCCCTCTTTTCCTTGCTTTCCAGCGTGCGCATTTTACTTTCACTTTCAAATAGTGGCAATTCGGCGTAAAGAAATTGTTTGTTTTTAGTTCGTTTGAATTTTTCCTCGCTTTCCTTCGCTTTTAAATAGCTTAGCTCGAATTAGTGGCAATTTGGCGTCAATTGCTTGAATGCAACAACAAAATACAACGTCAAACTCACTTTAGCCTATATATAAAACAGAACTTTTATTAACAAAACAAATAAAAATACACCATGCTATATAGGGCAGGCTATGCCTAATATAAAAGAACAAATAACTTACATAGTTTAAATAAGTAGCCTATACAAAACTGGAAATAAGTAGGCCTAAGCATGTATAATATATAACCAAATAAATAAGAAACGTAGAACGTTTATTAGCAAAACGAATAAGAAAGCTTGGAGGCACGGCATACACCTTGATGTCAAATAAAATAAATAAATGACACAAAGTTTAAATAAAGTAAAAATCAGCAAACACTGTGGAACCAATTAAATAAGAAACGAATGTTTAAAAAAAAAACTTCCAAAATCAACTTCAATAAACGGCAAAAGTCAACAGGCTTTTCAAAATCCAAAATACTGCCAAACTGGCGCTTTTGCATTTAGTTTCGAAACTAAATCATCCGCGATCGTCTTATCTGTCTCACCTCACCTCACTCTTCTTGTCAGTCAGCTCGACTCACTCTCCTCACTGGAGAAATTAAATCTGATCTGTGATGCGACTGTCGTTCGGCACGCTGCATTGAGCAGCCGCGTTCAGTTTTTAATTGTAGTGTGTTCTTTTACTGAACTAAATGATTACTATAAAAAAAATCAAAATGGTTGTGGGGGTCGGTGCCGTGGTGGACAAGTGACGTAACCGGTGTTGCGGCTTAATAACAGTATCACCGTCAGCACCGTCTATCGTGGCAAGCCTAGTTGGTAAGATGTTTTTGAAAGGATTCTTTTATGTCTGCCAACTATGTTCTATTTTAATATTTATTAGAATGATATTTGCAAGATCATTCTAATATGCTGATTTTGCTGTTTTAGAAACATAATTGAACGGTTTAAAAAGTTGTGCTGCTTAAACTTTTTGTGGAAATCATGATAATATTTTAATTTCTTTGATGAATAGAAAGTATAAAAACAGCATTTATAAATTATACATTTCTTTACTGTCACTTTTGATCAGTTCAATGCATTCTTGCTGAATAAAAGTATTAATTTCTTAAAAGAAATCTTCTAAGCTTTTGAACGATAGGCTTTTGAATGATAGGGTATATGGAGACTGAAATATCATAGAAGCATAAAGGTGGGCCTTTTTTTGGGGGGGATTTGTGCCATCAACATCTGGGTCAAAGAATAAAGCCAACATGGTTGATGTAGTATGTCCAGAAATGTGTTCAAACTTATAATTCATTAAATCCAGTGCATGATCTGAAAGTATAAAAAATTGGAAGCCTAAGTGGTGTTTTGATGGTTTGTTCTCTGAAGGTGGGGCAGGAATGCCGACCGTGTTTTTATTTCGCATGTGGTGCATTTGTCTAAACATCTTAAATCGCGATGACATTGTTCGCTGTCTTGTCACCAGTACATAGTAGTGCTATTAAAAGAGTGACTTCTTCATTGAAATGGTTGCATGTTCTGCTTAACAGTTATGACAGATGGGTTTTGGTTTTTTTCCTGTGCAATGTGCGTTTCTTCTTTTGAATCATCCTCTTTTAAACCTTTCAGTCATCCTCTGATGACGATTCTGGCAGCACTGTATCTCGAGGTCGACGTGGGAGAAGGGATAGTGTGGTGAGCCAGAATAGAAACTATGACCGCATATCTAGTGTTCAGACAACACAACCACATATTCTATTTTCATTAAAGCAGTAACATATTATAAAAACATTTCCACTTTAGCTTCTTATTTTTTCGCTTTCCCATGTTCTTGTCTGTCTATGTGTAGTTGTCTGATTTCTCTGATATCTCTGAGACGGCTGCTGATTATTTCAGCCGCTCTAATCGCAGGGGCAGCATTGTCTCTGATCTTGATGATCTGAGCATCCCAGACCTGGACAGTGTAAGTCAAGAGTCAAGGCATGCATGAAGTATTAACCGATGTGACGCGTTCACTAAAGAGCACTGGCTTGAAGGGAAGGGATAGTTCAGTTATTAAAGTTGGTTTACTCTGCATGGCTTGATACTGTGTAAAAATTGCAGTAAAGTTGACTCTACTGGACTTTGTTTAATGACTGCTTTTAGGAAGGTATACATATATTATTCCTGTATAAATGCATCTAACTGTTGCGTGTGTATCTCCTTTGGTTGGTCAACATTTGTTTTCAAAATAGAGAGTTTTGGTCTGGCTGGCTGGATCACTGATACTGATGATTTCTGGTTAAAGAGTTGCGTATCATGGTGTGTGCCTAAAACATGCTACAGCAAGTAACATCTCACTAATTTTTTTCTTTTTGTCTTACTTTAAGATGAAGGCAAAACCCAGTTAAAGACCTTTCAACTTGCAACAAGTATATATTTATAAAAGTAACCAATAAGACTTATGGTGTTTTCTTCTTTTTCAGCTCGATGAGAAATGTGACAAGCAGTTTACAGACACCTACAGCCGGGTAAGAGAAAGGGAGGTCATTTTCCACTTCCCTGTGTTGTGATATTTGACACTAAATTAAGAACCAAGTTAATGTTTGTCTTCTCATTAGGGGAAGTTAGTCTGTATTTGGATAATTGTTTTCAGTCAATGTTTAAGTAAAATTTCCAGATATCTAGAGCAGGCTTAAGTGATTTATGTTGTTGTTGTCATCATTAAATACACTACTATTTAAAAGTTTGGGGACAGTAAGGATACATTTAATAAAAGGATACATTCAGGAAAGATACATTAAATGAATCAAAAGGGTCATTAAGGTTACAAAATATTATATTCCAAATAAATGTTGTTTTTTGAACTTACTATTCATCAAAGAATCCACAAAAAAATATTAAACAGCGCAGCTTTTTTCAACATTGATAATAATTAGAAATGTTTCTTGATTAGCATATTAGAATGATTTCTAAAGGATCATGTGACACTGAATAATAGAGTAATGGCTGCTGAAAATTCAGCTTTGCTTCACAGAAACATATTAAATGTTAAAAATAAATGTTATTATTGTTATTTTAAATTGTAATAATATCACAATATTACTGTTTTTACTTTATTTTTGATCAGATAAATGCAGTATTGATGAGCATAAGAGACTTCTTTCAAAAACTTCAAAAAGAAATCTTACCAACCCAAGTATCAATCATTAAAACTCTTGGTGATGCACAGTGGCCCCAACAGTATTTGGATACTTCAGTCACATTTGGTAATAATAAAATATCTAACCAAGTTTCATCTGCAAATTTGCTACATTTTCTCAGAACCTAATTTTTTGCAAATAAAATTAAGCAACTTGTGTTAAGGTTGTTGAATAATTTTTTGATCAATTGTTTATGGGTGTTTTGTGCTCTCATTTCCTCCAGCCGTCCTCTCGTTGTACCACCCCGGCGCTTTCCGCAGCTGCCCTGGCATCTCTGGGAGGCAGCAGTTCTAGAAGGGGCAGCGGAGATGCTGGAAGCATCATTATGGATGCAGAAGCTTCTATCAGCGAGTTAAAGGTAATTTTGTTGTTTATTTGCATTGCACAAACTGTAATACAGATTTCTCAGGTATTTCTTGAAACAAGATGAATATACCTGCCTTTGAAAATATTTTGGCTGAGCATCGCAGGGGTGCCCAAACTCGGTCCTGCAGAGTTTAGCTCCAACCCCAATTAGACACACCTGAACCAGCTAATCAAGCTCTTACTAGGCATACTAGAACCTTCCCAGCAGGTGTGTTACGGCAAGTTGGAGCTAAACTCTGCAGGACACCGGAGTTTATGCACCTCTTGCATAGAGCATCATACTTTCCTACTGAATGCATCTGATCTCAGGGAATCCACTTGTGTTCATGTCACAGTTTTATTTGTGTTTGTTAATGCTTTCGTTTCTTTCCTCTTTATGTTTGAATGCCTTCGGGAAGCTATCTCCCTCTTTGTGTTTGTATGAATGTACAATCAGAGGTCACCGCTCTGACCTTCAGTGAATGCCAAACCTTTCCCATGATTCATTCCTCCATCTCAACAGGACATCTATGATCTAAAGGACCAGATTCAGGATGTAGAGGGCCGATACATGCAGGGTCTTAAAGAGTTGAAGGTAGAGGGTCCTGAGCTCAACGCACGCCTTCCCTCATTCTGCACTAACACACCAGGCTCTTCACACTTCTTAGTCTGAAAGCATGAGCCTTGCATGAGTCTTTCACTAAGTACATTAGCTCTTTACAGTCACGTTTAGCCCACAGTCATGTTGCATGAAGACTTAATTGCTCCAAAGAGCCAAAATCACATGGAAGGCTTCTGCTTCACTCCCAACTGCTATTAAAGGATTAGTTCACTTCCAGAATAAAAAAATTCCCGATCATTTACTCACCCCCATTTCATCCAAGATGTTCATGTATTTCTGTCTTCAGTCACAAAGAAATTAAGGTTTTTGAGGAAAATATTCCAGGATTTTTCTCCATATAATGGACTTAAGTGGTGGCCAACAGGCTGAAGGTCCAAATTGCAGTTTCATTGCAGCTTCAAAGGGCTTTACATGATCCCAGCCGAGGAATAGGGGTCTTATCTAGCGAAACGATCTGTCATTTTCTAAAAAAAAGTATATACTTTTTAACCACAAATGCACGTCTTGCACTAGCTCCGTGATGCACGTCTGCAAATTCGCGCATTACATAATCATGTTGGAAAGGTCAAGTGCGATTAGCTCTTCATCTGTGTACTCCGGTTCAGAAAGGTAGAGTAGGGCGAAAAACTCCATCTCATTTTCTCCTCCAACTTCAAAATCATCCGACATCGTTGTTTTACCTTTTTTTGTAAAGAGCATTTGAATTTCTTTGCACATTCGCTTTGTAAACACTGGGTAGGTACTTCCGCCTATGTCATGCATGACCTTTCCAACGTGACTACGTAATGCGTGAAGTCGAGTTAGTGCAAGATGAGCAGTTGTGGTTAAAAAGTATATACATTTTTATTTTTTTAAGAAAATGACAGATCGTTTTGCTAGATAAGACCCCTATTCCTCAGCTGGGATCGTGTAGAGCCTTTTAAAGCTGCATCGAAACTTCAATTTGGACCTTCAGCCCGTTGGCCACCATTGAAGTCCATTATATGGAGAAAAATCCTGGAATGTTTTCCTCAAAAAACTAAATTTCTGTGCGATTGAAGCAAGAAAGACGAACATCTTGGATGACGTGGGGGTGAGTAAATTATCAGGAGATATTTATTCTGGAAGTGAACTAATCCTTTAATAAAGAAGATGGACAAGGAGGCAGACATTTAATCAGCTGTAGCTGTGTAAAGAATTTCAGTATTTGTCCAGTTCACATTTGGAAGTTGGAGACCCTGCTTGAATATCCTGATATCAGTGAGACTCTGTGAAGGAACTGTACATGAACAGACAAGGGTTAATGTGACACAGACATGGATGTTCCTTCTTATATATGATGTCATATATTATTCAGTGTTAAAGTCAACATGAAATGCTGCAAACAACCTATTTAAGGACTTTTGGGTCCTTAAGGATCTATTGAGAATTGATTGGATTGTTAAAAAGTTGGCATTACATATACTACTGTTCAAAAGTTGGGGATTAGTAACATTTCTGAAGGATCATGTGACACTAAAGACTGGATTAATGGCTGCTGAAAACTCTTTGCCATCACAGGAATAGATTAGAAATAGATTCAAATAGAAAACAATTATTTTATTACAGTTTTTTTTCTGTATTTTTGATCAACTGAATGTAGTCTTGGTGAGCATTATAGCATAAACAAATCTTTAACAACCCTAAACCTTTGAACAGTAGTTTACCTGGATGGGACAAGTGATTGGAGGGAAGGAGCCGATAAGGGAAAGTCATTTCAGAGGTGGAGCAAGTTATTATCTTTTTAGGACAAGTTACAAAGAAATGTGGAAAGTAAGACCAGGAACATGCATTTAGTAAGTAAATGGGACCATTTTGATTTCATGTTGACTTTAAAATTTCTATCTGACTTTATTTATAATGTTTTGTATTACACTTTCACTTTTTCAATTTGTACCTGTACATCACATTTTTTTTATCTAATCTTCAGTGCAGTGGTCAGTGTGTGCTTTATTTGCCTGTCATTACATTTTGTAGTGGTTTTGTAGCATGTAAAGCTATTCAAGTACTTTTGTGTGAAGAATTTTTCCTCTCTCTGATCAGGATTCTCTGTCGGAAGTGGAGGAGAAGTACAAGAAAGCCATGGTATCCAATGCCCAGCTAGACAACGAAAAGGCAAACCTCATCTACCAAGTGGACACACTCAAAGACGTCATCGAGGAGATGGAAGAGCAAATGTCAGAGCTGCACAGGGAAACAGAGGAGAAATCAAAGGTGCTTATAATAAATTATTATATTCTAGAAAACTGTTTTTATTAATCGGACAAAAAAAAACAAAAACATTGTATGGTCCAGTCTTATTTCCACAATGCACAGACCCAGCAGATTGTGAATGCCATGTATTGTCAGCAGTTTGTTTCTGATACATTTATTCGATATTGGAACCCTATACACAAGCTTTGGCAGATTATGATGCGAGTGTATTTTTCTTTTGATTGACAGGAGTTAGAGCGGCAGAAGCACACATGTTCAGTCCAACAGCACAAACTAGAGGACATGAAGGAGGGAATTCGTCAGCGAGATGAACTTATCGAGGTAGAACCCAGAACAGAAATGGTTTATCGACCACAAATTCGTTTGAAGACATTAGAAACATTTGCAATAGACTCAATGTTTTAAAAGCTTTTGCAGAATAATCAATTACAGATGATTTGAAGTCTTTGAGTGAAAGTGTGCTTTATGTTCTTCGTGGTTGAAATGGAAAGGTTCAGTCTTTATATCATTCACTTTCCCCCATTGAGATCCTCTTGTTTTCTTCCTTCATATGTTCTGTCTCATCGCTTCTTTGTTGTGTCTATTTTGAATCTGTCCTTTTTCCCCTTCTCTACTTTATTAAACGCATCCCCAGGAGAACCAGAAAATTCAGCAAAAGCTAGATAACCTCACGAGAGAGGCATTTGACCTGCAGGAAACTGTTAACTGGAAGGACAAAAAGATTGCGGTAGGACGGTTTAGGAGATACTGCTTGGATTGACGGCGAAAGACTGATCAAATTAACTTTTTATTCATCTCTTAGCCATCTATTAACATTAGTTTTGCCAGGCAGCCTTATTCATATATGTATATAGTATCATAATTTTTACAAAGGATTGATGTGTGGCTAATGCATGTACAAATTTAGACATCTGGATCTTTTTCATAAAAACTCAAATATATTTGCATAGATTTTTGTTTGAATTGATTTTTGCACAATTTATGAAGAAAAAAAAAGTTGTAAATGCACAATGCTGCTCTCTGTTGGTATCCCATGAGCCTCAGCTGTGTACACCAGAAGTGCTGGGTACCACACAATAGTTTTCAAAATTGAAGATACATAGTGCATGAAAATATTTTACATCCAGAAGATTGATTAGTTTTACTTTTGGTATACTCACTTCGGCATGAACATCCATGAATCGCTCAAGAAGATTGAAAGAAAAGAACTATACAGAGCTATATAACTAATAACATCATTCCTTCACTTCCTGCACTATTCATCTGTCAGCATGGTCTATTTTCATCCTGCCATCTGTGACTAAAGCTAAGGCTGGGCAATATATGAAATATTTGTGATGGTCAGTACCATGTGATGTGATATTTGTGATGATCAGTATCATTCTTATTGAAAGCTGTTGAAAACATGGCTTGAGATGGCTTCAAAAAAAGTTAAATTCAACGCAAATACACGGAGTAAAAAAAACATTTTATATACACCATATATATTTTACACACACACACACACATATATATATATATATATACAGGGGTGCACATAAGTGGTGCGCATGCGCAACCAAAATAAAAAATGCGCTGTGTAAATAAGTTCTGACAGTGCATTTGCATACTGACATGGTTAACAGCTGTTAATGCACAATTACCATTTCAGATCGACAAAACTGTAATACTGTATAAGATTTCTATTCAAACTGAATAGATAAATAAATCTAGGCTACCCGCTGCCGTTTTCAAAGCACAATGCATAACTGTGACATTTCATTCACTGATGCGCTTCAGTCGGCAGCGCTAAACCCGGAAGCGCATATACTTACTTGCCGGCAACCCTTCAAAATAAAAGCCTGCTGATTTTAATTTTGAAAATGATGAAAATTCATCTTTAAAAAAATAAGTAAATATTAGCATTTTATTTTTAAGTTTACTATAAAATAGTTGTATTTGTATTTAATACTCCCATTTTATTTTTAAATATATTTATATATATATATATATATTATCACACTTTATTATTTAGTTTGTTATTTTATTTAAAAAATAAAGTGCAACAATATTATCACTACGCTTACATTTTTTTTTTGTAGTTTGTAGTATTTAATGGGTTACACTATGTGCAGTGTGAGGACCAAACCAAATCTCCAGGTTCTCTTATGAGAACCAGGCTGAAAAACGTATGTGAACCCCTGTGTACATATATAATAATTTTTACATTTATTTTTAAACCTATATTGCCCAGCCCAAACTGAAGGCCGTGTTCATTGTGTGTTTTCTGCTGTCTCTTTACTCCTCTCTCTTTTCCTGCCCTTCGTTTGACCAGGCGTTAGAGAGACAGAAAGAATACTTTGATTGCATTAGGAATGAGAGAGATGAGCTCAGGGATGAGCTGGCTGACCTCAAGGGGAAAAGCCGAATGGGAGAGGTACGTCCTTTAAGTGCTCCAGCACAGGATGAAAGCTTGCCATCAGCACTGTGTAACAACAATAAACAGATCGTTTGAATGGAAAGTTTTTGGCTTGCTGCCTATATTTGTTTTCTCTGCATTTCACTGGCCATGTAAACACTGTGAACTTTTGAGTGTGACATTACAATAGTTTTAATAAATCTGAGCTATGTTATCTGAGCTGATTTATTATTGACTATTTTCTTGCGTTGCCTGCCGTCTTGGATCTTTTTTTCCCTCATTGAGCCCATCACAGTGCATTTTGGGATGGCGTTCTCTTTAAAGGAAACATGCAGAAGGCATCTATGCCTTCTATGTCAGAATCGCAACTATGCTATTGTTTCAGGATGTTTTGAGTTGTCACTCAAAATGTATGTGTCCAAAAGAGGAGTGACAACTGTACTGCAGTGTGTATGTGGCCAGTGTCCATTAAAACTACTTTTATACTTTAATTTATTGTGACCCTTCTTCTCTGGCAGAAACACGGGCTGGTCATCATACCAGAGGATATGCCCAATGGAGACGTCAGCCACGAGTCCCCTACCTCAGGCATCACTGTGGTCACACAAGAGGCAGCGCAGGTGCTGGAGTCAGCGGGAGACGGACCTTTGGGTGAGTCTCCAAATACTGGTCTATATATAAGGATGAAACAATGGCATAATTCTTGTTTTCTGTGCTCATACCCCAGATGTAAGACTACGAAAGCTTGTGGATGAAAAGGATGAACTTTTGTCTCAGGTATGATTGTATATGAAGTGAATCCAAATGGATTATTGGCATAGATGAGTTGAAGTGACACACACGTGCTCTTTTAGATCAGAAAACTAAAGATGCAGCTGGAGGAAGAAAGACAAAAACACTTAAAGATCGACAGTGTTTACACAGAAGGAGAGCGAATGGAGAACGGCACTGACCTGCATTTCATCGAGATGCAGAGTATGACCTGTGAAACATGCTACACACACACTGAAGTCTCCATTAACATCCTTCACATTTACCTTCACATGTACCATGCTGTAATACTGTCTGTTTCCTGTAGGGGACGCCAATAGACAGATAAGTGAATACAAATTCAAGCTTTCAAAGGCTGAACAGGAAATGGCAACGATGGAACAAAATGTGAGTTTATAATTAGAACTTTATAAAGTTATTATAGAAAGTAGATACCCTAGAAAGTATAACCTATATAACAATAGTATATAACAGTAGTATAAAATGTAACAGAAATATTATTGATGTATAATTTGCACAGAAAAATGAAGCCTATTTAGGACCAATAAGATTTTTTTAGGGTTGTGACTGTTTTAAAGCAATGACAATTTTTTCATGTCCATATTTTTCCACTTTTTTATTTTATAAAGAAAGAAGTCTGTTTGATCACCAAGGCTGCATTTATTTGAACTAAATACAATAAAACACAATTGAAAATATATATATTTTTTATTAGAATATATTTTAAAATAAAGTAATTTAGTCCTGTGGTGGTAAAGCTGAATTTTCAGCATCATTACGCCAGTGTTCAGTGTCACATGATCCTTCAGAAATCATTCTAATACGCTGATTTGCTGTTCAAGAAACATTACATAAAGCTGCTCAATATTCTTGGTGAAAACTGTGATGCATTTTTTTTCAGGATTGTTTGATGAATAGAAAGTAAAAAAAAAAAAAGTTTATTTAAAATAGACATTTTTGTAACAACGTAATACTGCCACTTTTGAAAAATTTTTAATTAATTTTTTTAATAAAATTAAAATTGTATTTGTAAGATGCAATTTATACATTTAAAATATTAGTTTATAAATTAAAAATATTAATCACTAATAGAATTATTTTAAAATATTGCCACTTTTTGATTGATTGATTTTTTAATAAATAATTGTTGTTAATGTTAAAAAATTATTGAATATTAGCATAACTGTTGTATTTTTTTGTATGTGTCTTTCAGGTAAATAGACTTGAAGGACAGGTGTCCAGATATAAATCTTCAGCAGATAATGCAGAAAAGATAGAAGATGAACTGAAAGCAGAGAAAAGAAAACTTCAGAGGGAGGTATGAACCCAAAACTGAAGAAACTTGCCGTTCAAACATCTCTGATACTGACCTATACACATATCACACATTCAGGGTTCCCATAATCGTAACCTCTGATGTCTGGTCCTGGAAAAGTCATGGAAAATATCTGTTACATTTTTTTTTAAATAGTACCCGATGCCAAATCCAAGAGTAGAGAAAATCAAACTCTTCTCATATTAGCGGTCACAGAAAAGAGTCATCCTCACACACCTCTTTTCCTTTTGTAGCTGCGCACAGCCTTGGACAAGACCGAAGAAATGGAAATGACCAACAACCATCTCATAAAGCGTCTGGAGAAGATGAAAGCAAACAGAAACGCTCTTCTGTCCCAGCAGTGAAGAGAGACTCTCCAACACCTTACAGTAGGACACCAAAAACAAAACTGCAGGCCCTTTACCTTCTTTCCATGCCTCTCGTGGTAAAATACAGATGTACACCCCACTAAGACAACACTGTGAGGGAGGAAGCCTCTAAACCTTTTCTGAACCTGAGAATATTGTACTTCTGTTGGTTTTGTTGTTTTTAAAAGCTTGGTACATCACGGTAGCCGTTGAGGTTTCATTGCTTGGACTGGGTGCTTTTTCCCCCTCCTCTTTTGTAAGTTGCACGAGTATAAAAGCGCTTTTTAAACTGTAAATCGACATGACTGCAGGGCCCTCGACTTCCATGTAAATGCTTACACAGCAATGTGCCTTCACAGGGAGGACGAGGGTTATATGCATTATAACACTATACAGGAAAAGCATATATTTCTACCGGTACAAAAAACATTGTGTTTAATAAAGGGTACAGCCATGAGTTGAAAATTATAGAGAATTAATCATGTCTGCTATGGTTTCAATTAAGTATTTTTGTTTCGTTTTTCAAATATTTAAAATATTTCTTGAAAGTAAATGAATGCAGTATGAATGGGTGGGTGATTCATGGATTGTGATTGTTTGCAGGGCACATTGAATTTTTTTAGGGTTTTTTTTATTTTTTTTGAAGTGCTTTGTCACAATGGACTACATCAATTTTACACTAAATGTAATGATTTTAACTCCCAGTAAGAGACCGATGTTTCTACTGTGACATTGTGAGATTTGAGATTCAAGTCCCAAATGCCACTTGATGCCTTTCACGATACTGTTGTATTCAGGTTTGGTGCAACTTTTTAATCACACTAGAAACCAATTGTTTGACACTTCATGTGCACAGTGATTGTGACTAAAGCAGCTGCAAAGTATACTGTAAATAAACTACACAATTTACAAACTAACCCCTCTCAGTAATTATTTTTGGACTTTAAGGTGAAGTGTAATTTCTACACCACAGAATTGCAATCTGTTTGATATAGCCTAACATAACAGCACTGGCTCAACCGATGGCCACATGCATGTTAAAGCAGCCTTTAGTGCACACTATAATTAATGGAAATAAAAGAACATTATGCAATGTTAAACATTTCAAACATTAATATGTTGCATTTACACATTGCATGTTTATGTTAAAGGAATAGTTCACCTAAAAATGAAAATTTGCTGAAAATGTACTCATCCTCGGGCCATCCAAGATGTAGACGAGTTTGTTTCTTCTTGGGAACAGATTTGGAGAAATGTAGCATTACATCACATGCTCACCTCTGCAGTGAATGGGTGCCGTCAGAATGAGAGTCCAAACAGCTGATAAAAACCGTTAAATGGACTTGTTTCTTACAAACACCGCTTTTTCAACATTGATTGATGGACTGGAGTTGTGTGAATTATTGTGATGTTTTCATCAAATGTTTGAACTAAGCAGAACTATCGAGTGAAATATTCCTTTCATTTTTGCCATTCAGGTTGGTGCCGTTAGTGGTACAAAATGACATACTTCACTTTAAACATTATTTTGAAATGATGTTCTTGTTGATGTGTTTTATTTGGCATCTAAATCACACTTTTGGATTTATCCAATTAGCTTTGGATAAAAGCATCTGTCAAATGCATAAATGTGTAAGTGCATTACGGTATTAAATACAGTAATGAAAACTTGTTTAATATTTCAAAATAGTCTTTTTATTCATTTGCAGTACAAATATCTATACATTCTTGGTTTAATGTTAGCTAGTCATCTAAAATAATGTGACAGGCTGTTTACCGCTGTCAGTCATTTTGAGTTAGTCAGCTGTCCCACAAAACACAGCCATTTTTGATAGTACAGCATTGAAACCATTACACAGAACAACAGTACTAAAATTCAGCATCTTTCAAAGACTTTGTAGAGTTCTGGCAGTCTGGCGATCTGCAGAACACTGCCGTCTTCACTGAAGTGTTTTGGAGGACTGAAGAGAGAGCGGGGGGCTTTGAAAAGCACATGCTCCTCCTTCCACTAAAATAATTAACACATTAGTTAGTCTCTAACATAAAAATCATTTGGGTTTCAGTCGATTTTCCTATTAATCAAAGATCAAAAAACCTGAGTGCATTATGTTCAGAATAGCATATTATATTTCTATTGCAGTTTGTGCAATATATATATATATACACATACATACAATTACCCAAAATTATGTCTGGTTTTTGTGTGTAACATTTGAACTACCTGCGGCTCTTCTGCATCCGGCTCCACTGTGTATCGTTTCCTTATGGAATAGAAGTGACTGCATTCTAAACACTCCTCTCGATCACAGTTCACCTGCAGTATCCATCAGTCTTTTAGTTGCATGTGGATTAGATTTTTTAACCAATGCCACACTCCTCTCGATCACAGTTCACCTGCAGTATCCATCAGTCTTTTAGTTGCATCTGGATTAGATTTTTTAACCAATGCCCATTATATACAAACCCCAATAAACTACATTTCAATAAAGTGCTGACCTCAGTGGCTAAAAGCAGACTGAACATGGGAAGTCCCTCCATGGCAGGAGAGTAATTATCAAGCAGCATTGGCAGACCAGTCAGGTTCCCCTCCTGTAAAGAAATGCATCAGTTTTGTAAAAGCAATAATCAACAGTGATTTTTTTTTAACCATAATTAGACACAGGTTTTCTAGCAACAACCTTAGGTAAAATAAATACAGCCTCTTGAGCTTATTGTGAATCAGTTATACTGATGTAAGTTTAGTATGTGTCACTCACTCCATCTATTCTAAGTACTCTTCCAGCATTTCTGCTTCAGGAAATCCACAATATACTGAGCCAGTCCTTCTTTTGGACCGTCCTCCTCCATTCATCCACTCTCCTCTTAATCCAGAGCCAACATGGCCTAATCATAAGAGTGGAGCTGGATTCTAAAGAAACACAACTTTAGTTTTTAATCTGTTGAATGCATGTGATGTATCATATAGTTAACAGATTTTTTTCAATAAAAATACAGGTTGCTGCTCAATATCTTGCCGGAGCTCCTTTATGCTGGTCAGTTTAATGACACGTCTCCTGGGTAGAGAGGCGGCCATCAAATCCTCCTTCACCTCCTCAACATGAGACATTTTCCTGAAAGACAGATCGAAAAAACAACAGGTTGAAAGAATACACACACTGAACAAAATTATAAACTCAACACTTTTGTTTTTGCCCCCATTTTTCATGAGCTGAACTCAAAGATCTAAGACTTTTTCTATGTACACAAAAGGCCTATTTCTCTCAAATATTGTTCACAAATCTGTCTAAATCTGTTAGTGAGCACTTCTCCTTTGCCAAGATAATCCATCCACCTCACAGGTGTGGCATATCAAGATGCTGATTAGACAGCATGATTATTGCACAAGTGTGCCTTAGGCTGGCCACAATAAAAGGCCACTCTAAAATGTGCAGTTTTACTGTATTGGGGGGTCCGGGGGGGTCCGAAAACCAGTCAGTATCTGGTGTGACCACCTCACGCAGTGAAACACATCTCCTTTGCATAGAGTTGATCAGGTTGTTGATTGTGGCCTGTGGAATGTTGGTCCACTCCTCTTCAATGGCTGTGCGAAGTTGCTGGATATTGGCAGGAACGGGAACACACTGTCGTATACGCCGATCCAGAGC